CAAGTGACACCTGTTCTACACATTTTTACATAATAGCAGTGAAGGGATGTCCCTTTGTCCGCTTTCATTGTCTGTCATGTTCATAGTGCAAGCACCTAACTCATAATCCGCCCTTCTATTGTTCGAGTTTATAACAATGACAACGAACTCTACCTTTGGCCACGTTCATTGTTCCTCTTACGTAACATAGATGTAGATAGGCCTCAGACATAACTCTTTTCGTATAATCATTCTATATACCGGTAGGTCTAAAATGCTTTCAAATATTTTGAGTCGTTTTTGTTTGGATATACTTTGTCAATATACTTACACACTAGTATTGTCAAAATTTGCCAATACTACCAAACTATTACGTTTTCCATCATCTTCCGCTCTAGAATCCTATTATTTATTTATTTGTATTTGTTGGGCCTTTCTTATATTTTTCTTGTCTCTCTCTCTTCAAGATTTCTTCTGTTTTTGTAGGGGTATTTATGCTGTTAATTTTTGTATAAATAAACGAGAAATCGTTATTCTTTCTCTTATAATGATGTTGTCCACCTTCTTCTATAGATAACCCTTTTGTGCTAAAGTATAATGTCCGATGTATATAACTTCTGTCAATAACATACAATGAACGTATAATTTTATTTTGATGCAACAGAGATTTTTATTTTTATTAAGGAGTACGTCGAATTGCGATCTCATTTAAAACCTTTGTATACGGCACGCGCGGGTACAGTGTACGACGCATGAGCCTTGGCCTTATATGGTCATTGACGCCTATTCATGGTAACGGGCCTATTATTGAAAAGGTTATATATAGGATTTCCCGGCCAAATTCGCGCGTTTGTCATTCGAATTCATTTACTTTGCATTTAAGTTAGCGCAGATCGGCTTTGCTATGCCAATTATCATTCAATTTTACAGTTTTTGTATTTAATTAAGGATTTTGGTCGAAGGGTTTCATAGATCTGTCATTCAATTTAGAAACTGCTCAACTAGCATTCAAATTAATATTCACTTGTCAAAGCGTAATTTTTATCATTCAAATTAACACCTGTCATTCGTATTCGTAATATTTTTATTCAAGTTAGGAATGTTAGGGGGAAGAATTGCCACAAACTTTTACAGTTTTTAAATAATGCAGTTAAAATGCATGATTTGCCATTGTGGTCTAAGCTGTTATTCCATTTTTTTTATTTTTAGGACAATGCAGATGGGTGTAGTCAGTCATAAAGTAAAGAAGGGGCGAAATCAAGGGATATGGCATTTCTGCGCGGACATGTTCATATACCCGGGAAAGGTGGGGATACCCTCAATCGCCCCTTTTTACTACCGTCAGACTCGGAATTTTGCTAGAGTAATTCACATCGTCTCTTATACCCAGCACACCCCTCTGTTTTTCTTAAAGAGTTTCATAATTTACTTGCCCGCCAGCAGATCGATGGCTAAAGACATGGCTAAATAATGAATCATGTTCAAATTGTTGACTCTAGTCCCTACCCCAGTCACAATCAGTGGCAGATCCACGGGGGGGGGGGGGGCCGGGGGGCCCGGTCCCCCCCCCCCCTTGAGAAAAAAATCATGTAAAATCACGTGATTTTTACCTTTTTTTTGGGGGGGGGGGGTGCAAATTGAAATTCTTTTGAGGATCAAAAAAAAAAATGTGCTCACTACCCCCCCCCCCCCCCCCCACTGAGCGAATTTTGGCCGGCGCGTTTTTACAAATTTTCGGGAGCAAAAAAAAAAATTGTGCTCTGTACCCCCCCCCCCCCCCCCCCCCCCCCCCCCCCCCCCCTACTGAGCGACTTTTCGGCCGGCGCGATTTTCAAATTTTCGGGAGCAAAAAAAAAAAAAGTTGGGCCCCCTCCCCTAAGAAATCCTGGATCCGCGCCTGGTCACAATATTGTACCCTTCTTCCATAATTAAATTATGATGAAATTATGATAAATTTATAATGAAACATAAGACAAACAACTTCCTTACATGAACATTTACAAAAATATTGAGACCATCAGGTCCATAGATGGAAGTCGTTTTTTTCTTCTTAACAATCAAACTTAAATGCTGATGAATATCAGATAAATCTAATAAGTATAAGTGTATAAATGCAAGAAAATGAAATATGATGAAATACACATGAAAAAACAATCTTGAAAGAAAAAGAATGAGCTATAAAAATTGTGTAATAAACGAGAAATGTATATCGACCATCAATAATGCACAAAGTGTTAATTTGAATGCTTCAAATGAATTAGAATGCTAAAAGTACACCGTCGCGTTGTCAGAAAATCGTGTTGCGCCAAATCGAATGACCAAATAGCGAAAGAAGCACATTATACATTAATTTGAATGAAACATACATAGATTCTAACGAAAACTTCATAGATTTGAAAACTAGAAAAAGGAATATAAACCCAAAATATATCTGACAGCACCAAAACCGTCGAATTTGAACGCAGGACAAATTAATTTAAATGACAAACTCGCGAATTTGGCCGGAAAATCCTATGCTTGCAATGTTGCCGTGTCCCAGCACAACTCTTACGAGAAAACAACTAATTTTATGACTACTGCATGGGACACATGGGTGTCGATCCCGGGGGGGGGGGGGGGGGGGGGGGGGGATGGGGGGGATATATCCCCCCCCCCCCCAATATTTCAGGTGGGGGTGGCCTGTACAATCATCCCCCCAATAATTCACCCTCAAAAAAAAAAAAAAAAAATTAAGAGAAAAATTAATGATGAGAGCCCGATGAGAGTAGTTTATGGTTATTACTCGCAATTGACCATCAATATACACAAATTGGTATCTCATTTTCATAATAGACTCTCTACATACATACATACGAAGTAAATGAGACAGCCGGAGATTAGACAAGAATAAATTGAATTTTCGCTCATACGGCTTCATTAGGAATTGATGAATTTATTCAATTTGTTCAATCAACAGCACCATAGAATTGCAGTGCGCCAAATGCAAAGACGCAGAGTTAAAAAGCAACGAGCTAAATGTTATAAGCGCGAAGCGCAAAAGTAGCAATCTGCAACATCAGACAATCCTGGACAGATGAACTCTGTCACGAATTCGTGATGAGATCGGAGACAAGGAGAAAGATTTTCGGACATCAGTATAACTTATAAGATAGTTCACTAGTTGTTATGTTGTTTCCGTTCACCCTTTTTAAAATTCACGTCATTGTATCTTTATTTTTATTTTTTCACTCATTTTATTTCCTGATATTTCCTAAAACATTTTTCATTTTTGGAGAAAGATTATTATGTCACAACTTATTTTTGTTTTTATTGAAAAGCTGATGTAGGCCTATGTCACTGGCGTACTGGTTGGTTCAATCCCCCAATAAAATCCAACCATGACTTATTTTCAATTTCAATTTCGTCATATCACATGATTTTCAACAAAATTCGCGTTTCTCCATTTCTGTTGCAAACTGACACATTCCCAAATAGCCAGGAAAAGCATATATTTTGTATGTTCACTAATGGGCCTAATTAGTGGCCGTTAACACTAACAGTAGTATACAATTCCTTTCCAGAAGCTATTGCGACAAGCACTGCCAGGAGATAACATGCTACCCACCACTTGGGCTGTGCATGCAAAGATATGGAACGAACGTTCCATACGTACATCATGTGGGGAAACTGAATTCAAACAAGGATTAATCTAGAGAGCAGTACAACGAATCGTCTTCTTTCTCTAATAATTTAGTAAAACGGCAAAGCATCCGCGCTTTGCGCGGGAGGGGCAACTGAATTCAGACTAGGATTAAGAGTTATAATTAAATGAAACGTCAAAGTAAACGATACAACGTATCATCTTCTCTTTCTAATAATTTAATGAAACGGTAAAGCTTCCGCGCTGGGCGCTAGATGGGCGAAAATGAATACAGAAAAGGATTAAGAGTAATAATTCATTGAAACATCAAAGCTCCCGCACTTCGCGCGGGAGGGCGGGGCGAATTGCACTCAGACAAGGACACGATACAACGAATCATCTTTTTTCCCTAGTAATTTAATGAAACGTCAAAGCTTCCGCGCTTCGCGCCGAAGAGCGGGGGCGAATTGCACTCAGACACGGACACGATACAACGAATCGTCTTCTTTCTCTAATAATTTAATGAAACGTCAAAGCTTCCGCGGTACGCGCGGACAAAGGGGGACTTGATTCAAACAATAAGGATTAAGAGTCGAGAATGGTACATCGAATCGTCTTCTTTCTTTAATAATCTAATGTAACGTCAGAGCTTCCGCGGTACGCGCGGAGGAAGGGGGACTTGATTTAGACATTAAGGATTAAGAGTCGAGAATGGTACATCGAATCGCCTTATTTCTTGAATCATCGAATGAAACGTCAGAGCTTCCGCGCTACGCGCGGAGCAAGGGGAACTTGATTCAAACAAGGATTAAGAGTCGAGAACGGTCCAACGAATCGTCTTCTTTCTCTAATAATTTAATGAAACGTCAAAGCTTCCGCGCTTCGCGGGGAGGGGGGAAACTCCCCCTCCCTGTACCCAACCCCGTAGGGAACGCGCTTCGCTTGCTTACTACCACCACCTAAAGCTTCGCTTGCTTACTACCATGAAATCCTGGCTACGCGCTTGGGGAAGGGTGCAACCTGCCACACGCTTCTACCTCTTGGTTGCTTTGATCCATTGCCGAAAATATTTTGGCACCTATCATCCCCCCCCCCCCCCCAACCACGGATACAAATCGACACCCTTGATGGGACACATTATAGCAGGAGAATGTAACCATGTTTGTAATACTTGCAGTGCTACCAAGTCCCAGCAGAATAATATCCCAAAACGGCATGTGAGAAATCCCCAAATTTACCCTTAAATAAACAAATTCAAAGAATGTACTGGCCTCACCTGTACCAAAGAGTATTATCGAAGATTGGTCAGCCCCTAGCTAGGTCAGAAATCCTAGCTACAGTCTTCTATTTCAAGTTTTTAAGTTATAAATTCATGCACCCTTCGTCAGGGAATAAGACCTACCTGTTGAGCTGCCATAATCCAAAAATAGCCAAAGGGCAAGACAAGTTATAGAACAAGCACTGATGAGTACAAAGATGGTAGATTTTGGTTTCAAGGACCTGCTGCAACTAATTGATCTCGTCGGCATCTTGATTTAATCTCTCGTTTCTTCCTCTCCGGTTATTGACAAATATATCTAGCGATCGTTGATGACTGAATGTGCTCAGTCAGACCGCAGCGTGCGCGATAATGAGGCTGTACGGCAATTTTTATTCAGATTCTCGTTCGGTGAAAGGTCGCTTCCAACGCTCTCGTATAACAGGAGACAAGCCAAGGGAATTCGGTAGCATCATTTTGTCGCCCTCATACGACATTTTCGCTGTTCTTTGACACCAAATTTGCCCAAGTTAGTTAGATTTTTTTTGCCTATTTTTATCGCAAACAAAAAGAGCGTTTTTTAGTCCTCGCAAAAATTAACTACTCATTTCATAGTGTCGTATTTTGCTAGTTCCTGACTGGTATTGATAATATTATTTCGATTTTTTTGCATCCTACGTCGAGTTTGATAACCAGTCCATCGTTTGATGTTGAAGACACGTAGACGCAAGTATTTTTTGAATACGAAATATGCCCAAAGTATTGGACTATATTTTGGAAATCTACCGGAAGTAGACGGAAAATGATTCGTAACCGCGGGAAATTGCTATGGCTACGGCCTTTCAGTCAGCAATGACCGGGTGTTTTGTGTGTCGCTGTGCCATTATGTGACACATACAGCACGAATTTATGTAGTCCCATGCGTAAATATTTTTGTCAGCATTTTAGTTTTTGTTGTCGCGAATCGACAGCAATGTAAATAAATCGAAAACTCATTAGTCATTGCTATTCATTATAAATCTACATGTAGATCAATTGATATGTTTTATAAGCAACCCAGATAGCAAAATGTTGTGGGGCCTGAATCTGAGTTTTAATATGGTTACAACTGGGCTGGTATATGGGCCCCTGATTGGCAGCCCATCTGGGGCCCATATATAACCCTGGTGCATATTGCAGCCCACCTGTGGCCCAATTGACCCAGATGGGCCCCACAATGGTTGTTGTTGGTTTTAGTTGTCGCGTTCAGTCAGCTTTGACTATTTACGCCTGATAGTTTTTTAAGTCTTGTCGAGGTAGTCGAGTCGTAATGAAATTTCTGGCTATTTGTTTCGACCGATGTTGTTCTGTTAGAACAATGGGCCCAGCCAAGTGGGTTTTATATGGGTCACGAGGGTTCTAAATGGGCTTCATATGATTCAAGTGGTTATATATGGGTCCATATGGGCCAAGAGGGTTCTATATGGGCTCTATTTGGGCAAAGTGGGTTTTAAGTGGACTCCATATGGGTCAAGTGGGTTCTATATGGGTCCCATATGGACAAAGCGGGTTCTATATGGGATCTTTATGGGCCCAATGTGATTCAAAATGCGCTTTATATTCTATGAATGGGTTCTATTTTTACCCAGATGAATTCAGTTATATAATTTAACTAGTCACGTACAACTGAACCAGTTATCCCATTTCAACTGGTCTAACTGGACCAGTTGTACCATTTGGGATAACCGGTTGAAAACTCCAGTTAAAAGACTTAATTAGTAAGTTATGGTATAAGTAGCACTTGCACTAATTAATTTTGCCAATGACAATAACACATCGTCTGCAAATTCCAATTTAAAGGCATTGGTATTAAGAAGACTTGGTGAAGTTTGCTATGAAGGAGGTTTTTCCATATACGTGTATTTTATTGAATTTGTTTTTAATTAGTTCATAGTTGGTGTTTTTTTCAAACCCATGTTTAATTAACTGCAATTTATACATAGTAGTTAAATATCCCAATGATTAGCAATTCACTTTATGTAGTATTTTCGAAATGAATCGCATAAAACTAAATCATCAGTAATTAAGAAATATCCTGTAAATTCAGAAATATTAGAAATATGGGTATATTTGTGGGTTTTGGATGGGAAAGCCCATCTCGTAAATCTGTTGTTTTTTTTAGCTGGGCCCGGCCGATGCTCGATGTGAGCTTTTCACCACCACAAACCCACATGGGGCCCACATGGGGCCTATATGTGTTGGTACTTGTGGGTTCTGGGTGGGAAGGCCCATCTGGTAAACACCTGGTTTTTAGCTGGGCCCAGCCGATGCTCGACGTGCGATTTTCACCACCAAAAACCCGCATGGGGCCCACATGGGGCCCATACAGTATGTGTCGGTACTTGTGGGTTCTGGGTGGGAAGGCCCATCTTGTATTCACCCAGATGGGCCCCAGATATTTTGCTATCTGGGATATTTCCAAGGGTTTAAGCATTAGACAAGTAATCAAGGGGTGTGATCGAATTGTAACAAAAATGAGCTGAGGCTGCCGGCTGAGCTAGATTAGAATTAAAAATCACACTTTACAGTATAATTAATTGTATTAATTTAGGGATTCTCAAACATTGGTTCTGCCTTCTGGTCAACTCAACCTTTATAACCAGCCATAGAAATAAGCAGCATTTCCCGTATGCGAGTTGAATAATGATTATGAACAGAGCAGAATTAAAACAAAAGGCCAAAGTTAAACACTTACATTTTACAACTTGTGCACATGTGGACAAATGAAGGGAAAACTTTATGAATCTGACACCTGTAATTTGTTTTCATTTACTAGATAATTTGGAATGCAAGCCAGTTTTGTCTACCATAAATGGCTAGCCACTTCGATGGGATCTTTTCAAATCCCCATACATTGAACTAAGCCTTTTTATATTCCTTCATCTTATCATTTGTTGTTGTTTTTCTGACAGACGCACTCAACCATCGAAACTTACGGAACAATGGGGACTTATATATTTGCACAACGAGAACGTGGACTGCGACGTGTGACGTCCTTTTAAGGCAATGTGACGTCCTTTTAAGGCACTGGCAGTGACGTCACACTGCCTTAAAAGGGAGTCACACAAGCAGTCCACGTTCACGTCGTGCAAATCTAAAAGTCTCTATTGACAATTTTTTTTTTCTCGAAAGACAGAGACATCACACAACAGTCTCCATTCCATTCCTGGATCAACACTTGCTGGACTCCATGCCTTTGTTCATTTTAATTGTCATTTTAATATTAAAAGACTCGACGTGATTACATTTTTGTATCTCTGATACTTGCAAGGTGGTGTTCCGGAGCTTCACATGAAGTGTCACTTTTATACAATTTAACGACTTTTTATTCTAATAATACTTTTATTCTCAGAAACACATTTTATGCGTGCGATGGTCTCAACATAAAAGTCAAATTCAGTTTATAAATATAATACAAATATTAAATTTTTGTATTCCTAGTCCTATTTCTTTTATTATTAGTGTTAATAATAATATTTTTGTTTAACCGTTGATTACTGTTGATTAAGAAATGTAAATAACACAGACCTGTTAAATAATACCCCCCCCCCCCCCGCAAAAAAAAAAATTAATAATAATAATAATAATAATAATAATAATAATAATAATAATAACTAGACATACTTGTTTGGAACAAGTATAGGTGGGCTGGTCAACTAAAATTTGAGACAAAATAGAGCAAAAATAAGCGAGATACTGCTATAAAGACGAGGTCATGTAGATTCATGATGTGAACGAAATTGATGATGATGGCCATGATGATGATGATGATAATAATGATGATCATGATGATGTCGATGATGATTATCATCAGTATGAGAATGATGATCATGATGATAATGATGATGATCATGATGATATTGATGATGATCATGATCATGAGCGTGATCCTGACATCTTATTGAAAAAATGAGGAATGATTAAGATAGCATATAGCCTCAGCTACAACATATTCAAAAATCAACAAAATCCAAGCAGAAACTAGAAATTTAAGTCGTCATGGGGACGAATTAGGTGGTCTGTCTTCAATTCTTATGATCATGCTCATCTTCAATTCAATTACCCAATAAACTGATGTTAGTGTAAAATGATGTATTAAGATATGGATTGATGAATGAAGTACAGATGAACTGATGAACTGATAGATTGAACTGATGTGAAATGAACTGAATTGATGAGCTAAACGGATAAACTGATGAACTGAACTAAACTGATGAGCTGAACTGATGAACGAAATATTGAGAAAATATCATGATGATTCGTTTAATAAAATTATGGAAATGCAAGCACTACTTTAAATAAACAGAACTTTGTCATTCCTCGCTCATTTTTCCTGATTGAGGTGTCACTCTCACTCTCTCTCTCTCTCTCTCTCTTCTTCTTCTTCTTCTTCTCTGTCTCTGTCGGGACTTCCACCTTTGTTTTTCCCTCTCCATTATCATCATTATCATCATCCGCATCATCATCATCATCATCAACATCATTAATCACCATCATCAATCATCATCATTATCATCACCATCAACATCACGAACATCATCACTATCATCAAAATCACCATCATCAATCATCACCATCATCATCATCAACCTCATCATCATCAATCATCATCATCGTCATTATAATAATCATCATCAATCATCATCATCGTCACCATCATCATAATCCCCATCATCAATCATCATCATCATCATCATTATCACCATCATCATCATCATAGTCATCATCATCATCATTATTACCATCCTCATCATTATCACCATCATCAATCATCATCGTCATCATCACCATCATCATATACATCATCATCCTTATCATCGTCATCTTCACCATCATCATTCATCATCAGTATCAACATCATCATCATAATCACTATCATCAATCATCATCATTACCATCGCCATCATCATCCTCAATATCATCATTATCATCTCACCATCATCAATCATCATCATCGCCATCATCGGTATCATCACCATCATCACCATCATCAATCATCAACGTCACCATCACCATCATCAATTAGCACCATCATCAATTATCACCACGATCAATCATTAACATCGTCATAATCATCATGATCATCATAATCGCCATCATAATCACCATCATCAGTCATCATCATCCTCATAATCACCGTCATCAATCAACATCATCACCACCATCATCAGAATGAGGTTGATGAACATCATTATCATCATAATCCCTATCATCAGTCATCATCAATATCATCATCAGTATCATCATCATTATCAATCATTACCATTATCACCATCATCAATCATTATCATCAAAATCATCATCATCATCACCACCTCCATCATCATCGTCATCAATCACCATCACCATCATCATCATCATTTTTACCAATGTTATCATCATCATCATTACTATCACAGTCATCGTCATCATCACCATCATCATCATCATCAATTCCCCCAGCTCTCTCTCTCTCTCTTTCTTCCTTTGTCCTAGTTTCTCTAACTCTTCAATCTCTTTTCTTATATTATCCCTGTCTTCCACTGCCTGTCCATCGTCTGTGAGACTTACATCTAAAACGTCGAAGTATCTCAAGATAGAACTTTTTTTTAATAGAATATATCAATCCGACAGAGCTTGATAAATCAACAAAGCATGTAAATTTACCCTTAGTTCATCATAATCATCTCCAGTCAAGTCTAATCTATACACGTCATGCCATCAATTAATATCAACAAATCACTTGTAGAGATTACTGAATAACATTTTTCAATAAGACCATATATGGGTTATAGATTTGGGATGGAAGCTCCAGTGCCGACTAATATTAAGATTCGTAGGAATGGAGCCTTATAATATATTCGTGTATAACTCATATCACAGTATGATATAATAGTAGACCAGCCAAACATAAACATGGGCTGTAGAAAAAGTTCCCATGGAATTTTGGGGGCAATGCATAGCATACATGCTAAATCTTTTGCAAAAAAACAAAGGAGTAAGGACAATAACCTCCTGGAAAATTACCCACCCCCCCCCCAAAAAAAAGACAACAACCCCGAGGACAATGACCCCCCTGAAGAAGAAAAAACGGGAAATTACCCCCACACCTGAAAATTACCCCCCGGAAAATTTACCCCCCTTCTCTAGGACAACCAAGGACAACCACCCCGAGAACAATTACTTCATGCTGTTACTTGCCATATTTAGAATATTAAGGCATTTGAAGAGCCATGATTTTCAGGGAACATTTTTTATCTGTTGTTCTTCCACACTTGCATAATAACAATGATAACGCTTACAAGTTAATCGCCACCTCTTCCCAGAACTCTACCGTCTCTTTAATGTTTTTGTATACACCATAAATCTGTCTATTGAAATTATTCATCTTGATTAAAGATAAAATCCAGTTCTGGTAAAAAAAAAAATAATAATAATAATTCTCACAGAATCAAACGAAACTTACACTGAATGTTCAAGATTACAAATGACATGTGCCAAACACTTTTGGAAGAAAATGTATACTAGCTGAGTAATGAGCATAGAAAGACAAGGAAATCAAGGTAGTACTAGCCCCGACACCATGTGTGTTGTCCCATATATAGCTTTCTGTGTACAGTGCTTGTTACTTTACCAAGACTCGGTCAAATTTATTATGACTTTGATGACTCCAGAACCTTGTAGTGCACACCAATACTTACATGCTACATAATCAACTGTTTCTGATCCTTTCCACACCTTTTCTTTCACAATGCAATCGCATTTAATACCAGTACTAAAGTTTATCTTTAAGCATATGACATGTGTTGTTATGCCTCACACAGAAAAGAAATGATCAGATAATGTGATGGATAAGTCATTTTTTTGGTCCCCAAAGAATCGACTTCTTTTTACAGGATGCACATTTTGAGTGGATACAGACTGTACATGTTCCGACAGTTCCGTATATGGCGATTCTCACATATTAGCTGCATAAGTCCAAGGGCCAAAAACTGAAAAGGCCCCTCCCCCTTACACAATCTGAAATAATTTGTTTTCTGTTAGTTAGGACCGTTCCCAATCGGAATGTGCTAGTTGGTTCTAAAGTATGTAGTGGAGGTGACCACTATAGGCTATTATCATGTTAACGGATCAAGAACATTTTAGAATTTTAGAAAGCTAATTCAACTTCAAATGCATTTAATTACTATATTTTTTAATCATAACAAAAAATAAAAAACAAAACAACAAAAACTGATTAACTTGGGCGAGTGTGTAACTTTCCTCCATGTTGTTATTCTACTCTTTTTGTATGGGTGTTGCGCACTTTCCCAATGTTGATGCTTCCAACCTTAGAAAATAGCCAAAAAAGATGCCTGAAGAGTATGCTTACTCATGTCATAAATCATAACCCTAGATATGACGTCACATTCACACATATCACAAAGAGCCTCTAGTCTACATTTAAGTAAGTGAACTATAAACCCGATTACGACTGCTTCAAAGCAGACGGAATGTTCTTTATCTTTTAAGTCTCTTTCAATTTGTCATACCGTTCCCACGTTATACGTGTATTGCCTTGTACATTTCGTTGAAATTTAACAGTATGTTACGTTATAAATTCCGTCATAAACTAGAATAAAAAATATATAAAATAGAATCTTCGACATCACATTTTATTTTTGGCGTAATTAATGACTTTGAAGTACCCTGGATGTCTACTTTGAATCCAATCTGATGAAAATATCGGCATTAAAGGCCCCTTATACTGCAATTGAAGTTTGTCGGGTGGTCAATAATTAAGGGCAAAACATGGTGACACTATTATTAAAGAAAAACGAATAGAAATTAAAAGCAAAAGCTTTTTGTCCACAAATTGTAATTTTCTATTATACCTATCCAATACTAACAACCATTTTGTCCAACTTATCGTTACCTGTAATGGCTCAAATTACATTGCAATCAAATTGGAAGATCGAATACATTGATGTATATGTTAACATTTGTTTTTGTGCTGTTCAATTATATATGTGTGGTATTTATTAAATTCAGTTTTTTCTCGTGATGTGTATGGTAACGGCCGTGGTGGTCACATCCACCACCAACTTTATGACAAGCGTACGCGCCGGGCTAAAGGTCCTATTAAATCAGAAATACTCAATTTCAGATTGTTTCTCGGTGGGTGGGGCCTTTTCGATTATTGGCCCATGGACTAATGTTGTTAATACCTGTAAGAATTGCCGTATACGGTACATGTACACTGTATTATGTACATGTACATCTTTTTTTTTAAAACCAAAATGCGCTTCCTGTAAAAACATAACTCATTTGGGATAGCATAACATGACTTATCCATTACAGTATCTGATAAATTATTTTATTTGTGTGGCATGAAAACAAATATTATATGTTTAATCAAGAAAAGTGTTTTCATTGGCATCCTTTTTGTTCATGTTAGTTTAGATAACCCCTTTTCTGAGTAAGTGATACTTTTAATTTTCATTGCGTTATACATGTGTGTGTAATATCTGACTTTTAAATGTTTATTAATCCGTTTTATTACTTCAAACTCATGATATGAAAATGAAAATTATATCAATTGAAAGATCTTTCTCAGATAAAACATATTCGACCAAAAATGGAAAATTATGATTTTATTTACATTCTTTCAAATTTTAGTATTTTAGTAAAGAAAAAGGCGCGTGGCATCCACTCCTATGTTAATCTTTAGTATTTTCGAACGGTCGCTACCCAAGTGTGAATCGATAATACCATTTAGGCACTGAAAGTGGAGGTATTATGTGAAGGAGGCGTGGAAAAGTCACCGGACTATGAAGCACATGGTACAGGGTTCCGTCCTAATGAGTGGGCCTACACCCTTGCCAATATTAGGGGATGATAAATCAACAATGGACCATAGTTTTTCATACTTTATTCATGATCATTCGGATTTCACAAAATGCATGAAACTTGGAAATGTACCTATTGCGTACTTAATACAATTATCGATAAACTCAGGGCCAAGATAAGGAGCTAAACGTATAGACAGGTTGTCTTTGATAGTCTTTAACGAGCTCTGGAATAGTTGGTGTCGGTGAGTGTGTTGAGAAAGTCTACCATTTCTTCCTTTTCATCATAACAGTTTTTCTATATCCTTCCCTTTTTCTTCGCGGATTTTTTTCTCTTTACATTTGCTGATTGACCGGCCCTCGGGCGACAAATCGACTGGTCCTCAAGCCGAAATACCGAGAGGCCTTGTTAATAATCTCAACTACTCTTCGTGGTCAAGCCGATCTTGCGTTCTCGTCGTCGTTGTCCTGTAAGTCATGACTGACCCTTTGTGACCCTGTTGATGGTTCTCCAGTATGTACTGTCTTGAGCCATACAATGGGCTGAGACGAATAATAGATTAATCCCTGTGTCGAAAAATCAGATAACAGGATGTCGTACCACGCGTCGGTACTCCATCATGTCTATGGCAGCCGCGAACGGACCTCTGGGAAGAAGTTTGTGAAACTGTTGGGGCATGTGAGGAACAATCTTCTGGACGTGCGAAGTGTCACCTAGATTCCACTCGCTATCTTTACCACTGTCAATTACCGTAGGTTGAAAGAAAGCGTGAGGGACGACATCTTCATCCCGACTGGCACTATGACGGATAACCTGAGGAACACTCGACCTCTCACCCGGAAGCGGAAGATGTTCGCGGAAGGGGTCATAATACATTGCTGAAGGCGGGAAGAGGTGATCACCATAAGCAGAAATTGTAGTTTTTCCTAAAGGAGAAAAAAAATAATCTTATTTTAGATTACACTCCTTACTGTACCATAAACATCATGATCGAACCTAAAAATAGCATTATACGTTTAAATCCGGTCCCGGACTATGGCATGGTATATACATGTACATGTCGGTTTATATGATATCGGACTGCAAGTTTGTTTTGAAAGAAAACGCATTTATGAAAAAGATTTTAAATCTAAATATTGTGTTTGGTTCTTCTAATGTTGTGGCATCAACACACACGTAAATAATGCAGGGCGTATGGAAATTTTTCGATCAGAGATAATAAGCCTAACTAACATCACGCATCGTCTTCAATGTCAAAGCTGATGACTGAACTTCATTCCATAAGTATTAGAAACCTTTATTTATTATTGCGACAAAATGTAATGTGAATTCTGTTACACCAGGAGGCACACAACTTTTAAAGTAACAGCCTATAATTGCGGTCGTATGGTTTCCTCTTTCGCGAGACGGGCAGTTGGCTCAGTCAGTAGAGCGTCCGCCTCACAACCGGGTGGTCGTGGGTTCGAACCCCGGTCGCGTCATACCAAAAGACGTTAAAAGATGGGAGTCGTTGCTACCTTGTTTGGCGTTCAACAATAAGGGATAGAGCAACGTCGATCTGGCGCTGCTCAGTGGCTGCCGGGCTCGTTTCGGTTTAATAAAATTTGGAGTGGACTATTAGGCTATTATTATTATATTATTATTAGTTTGAAACTAGAAAGTCGAATAAGATGCTTACTCTGAATCGGCTGTCTCTGTAGCGCAAAGGAGATGTGAGGGTGCGCTGGAGAGCCTAAATGGACAGGGAGATTGAACGGAGAATCCTCTCTCAATGCTCCTAATGAGAATGGGAAAGGCTGCGGATCACCTCCGGTCATCATCGAGCCGAGTACAACCTCTCTTGGTGAACTTGTTGGATTGCGGGCGTAGGTATGGCCTTTCATCAATATGTCCACCTTTTCCCTATCAGGGAATATATTCATGAAAACAAGAGAACAAAATGAAAGTATAAGAGTAGGCAAAAGACGGTACCACACACAGATCAAAATACAACTTGACATATTATCTTGATGTATCCTCCGCCATCTGCAGTGTGTGTTGCATAAAGGGAAAGTACACGTTGATATGAAGTTGGTTTTAGAAGGAGCATATGTCCAGTTGAGAATGACAGTATGAGCAGAATATGACAGTTTGAGAAAAATCCGAAAAGTATTTTTGTTTAATTATGACGTTTTGAAGTTTTAGTCGATTAAACACAAATCAGCAAGTCGATTTCCAGACCCCTTTTTTTTTTCGTATTTCGTTGTTTTTCTTTCTTTAAGGATACCTTTCAGTATAGTTTGTTTAAGCCATGCCATAAGCAATATTTCTTTGTTAGTTTTCAAATATTTCCATGATATTCTTATCATTATGTACACCCAAATTTTGAAATTTGATTATGAAGCAGACACGAATATACTATGGTGTATTTAAATTATTAAAATGTGGACTGAACACATATGGCTTGAAGTTGGGTCCAACTTTTTAGTTTTTTGTTCTCGTCATATTTCATTTTATCGATGTCACTCTCTTTTAAAGTAAATCATAGAAGAAGAAAAATATCCTGTAAACTCACAACTAAGACACATTCTACATATCTGGAAAACTTACTCCCTTGATAGTACAAAGAGCTAACTAACAAGTCATATAAATATCTTTTAAAAGTTTTAGGACGGGCTTTCAAGACTCGTGCTAAAATGGCAAACCCAGGCCGAAGGAGCGAAATTCGGGACGAAATTAAGTGAATCAGTTAGTCAGTTTTTATTCGGTATAACTTCATACCTTGAAAGGTTTTAAATGTATATTGTTGATAATCTTTTTCATCACATCTTCTCCGCAATTAAACAAAAAAATTGTTTAAAGTTCTTTTTTTCTGTTAACTCTCCCGGCAGTAACTTTGAAAGGTATCACAAAATTACATGAACGTGGATATATACATAAATGAAAGGGAAATCAAGAAAGCCAGATGGATTGCTATTAAACATTTATTTCCTTCAAAGGGACTTGGTATAATTGTTCAGATGAGAAAATGGTGCTAAGGTAGTGACTTCAATGCTAGATGTACAATTAAAGATAATCTGAAAGTTTGAGTGAAAACAGACCATTATTAAAGGTATTACAAAGTTTTGGTATGGGGTCATGAATTTGGTTCAAATTAACATATTGGAAGCAGATGCGTTCCTACAATATACATTGATCGTTGACGCGGTTGAAATCGAGTCTAAAGTCATGAAATTATAAATAATAAACTCTTAATGGTGTATAGCTCCCTCTCAAGGTCAAGATATTAATTTAGCTATGAAACAATGTTTCTTGACTAAAATCGACCGATTAGCTATTCCTGTTTGAAAAATATATATCCCAACTTCATATTCTGAGATTTTCATGGTCGCAGCTACCATTGTACGGCCATAGGCGCTATTTGAAATTTATCAAAATTTACCGGGAGCACCGGTAAATTTTTATATTCAATTTTTCTCGAAAACAGAAGTGTTTTAGGGGCTAATTTTTTTAGTGCTTACAATACATCCACAGGGGCATCCAAATATATCAAAATTGTAAAGATTCACTATCCACCCAATTTTCAAAATTTCCCAAAACTTTGTATTACCTTTAATGATAAAAATTTAATTCTTCCAACTATATCATTACAATTTAATTACACTTCAGATGAATGTAAATCGTCACAAAGTACTGAATTAGCTCTATATACCATTCCAGACGTTTAAGTGTTGAAATGATTTTAAAAGTCTGTCTTAAAAATTCAAAAATGGTTGGGACAATTTACTGTTAGAGGGTGTTGCACAGTGACGCCTTCAAATATTTTTTTTCAGGATGTTTTGCATGTTAGAGGGTTAGTACAGTAGAAGGAATAGATAATAAGTAACATTTCATACCAAAATTACGCAGTTTTTTCATCAACCTTCCACAATATTACCGAGTCACTTGAACTACTAAACAAAATTTAAGCCTCATAATTATTTCATGCACGTTGTTACAATGATCTAACATGGGGACATTCATCATCAACGCTAACTCATCCTTACCTCTCATATTCGGAAAGCCTAGAAGAATCTCGGAACCCTTTGGCAAACGGATTGCTGTCAATTTTCAATCTAGTAATCTAATTACAAAGAAGATAATAATGACAAAATGGTAACGTTATCTAGATAAAATAGTTAAATGTTACTATTTGTTGAATGTGCGATCAGTTTTTTACACACCTATGGAGGAAGAATTCAAAACTATATAAAGGTCCGGAAAACCTGCATTTAACGAGATATGGTATCGTGTAGTTTTTATTAATAAATTTCAAACCCACCGATGCCAGCAAGTAAAAATCTCCTGGAGATAATCGGTACTAGACCAGATTATGGTCGTTTTGAATATATATTTAACCTTTGAGTGTGTGCGTGCGCGCGCTCACCCACCTACGACCCACGAATTCACCTACCCTCAGGGTCTGTATTCGCACGTAATTCTGCTGTACGTAATTATACATGTATCTAATATTCGAGCGAACGCGCACGTCACTAATACGTACGAATAGAGAACAGTCCATGTAGTGGACCATTTTGCCATTGCCTAACATGCATTCAGGTGAAGGGTACAAACTAGTAGGAATACTTCCGAAGGGGTGGATATCGTACAAACGTCATTTCCATTGCGATATTCCCTTGGTTAATCAATCATGTGAAGACATTACAGACAATAAACCAGCATGCCTGATATTAATGGATTTGTGTAATTATTGGCCCGAATTCACGAAGGAGGTTTGTCGACAAACCTTGGTTTTCGTACGTCATATGACGCGTTTTTACGCGTTTTTTACAAACCTGGTTTGTAAAGAACAAAAGGAGGTTTGGCGAAACAAAAGGAGGTTTGTCGACAAACCTCCTTTGTGAATTCGGGCCTTTTTGTTGCATTCATATTCCAAACACAACCACGTGATGCACGAAAGGCCGCATGTGAAACAGGCTATTATGAATTTGTAGGCATCATGATGATGCTATAGGCATTTAGTCGAAACCTTGGAGTCTTCCTAACCCACAAATACAAGTTGGATTTCCAGTATGCTCACATTACCAAGAAGGCTAGCAGGGTTCTTGGAATGTTAAGGCGTAATCTTAGAGGTTGTTCGAAAACCATCAAGAGCATTGCTTATCTTGCGTTAGTAAGACCTCATTTAGAATATGCAGCTAGTGTCTACGGCCCCTATGAAGCCAAGTACATCAAGCAGCTGGAAATGGTCCAACGTCGTGCTGCCAGATTTGTCTGCAATAACTACAACCAACGTGCTAGTGTCACGGACATGTTCAGGAATCTGAATTGGGACTCACTGGAACATCGACGAGAAGTTGCAAGACTTGCCCTTATGAAACAGATCCGGAGCGGACAATCTGATATCCCGAAGACCCTAACACCTCTTGCTGTTACTAGATCCCGTCGTTCCTCAACCAGCAATAGCCAGCATTTGAAACAGAAGTAATGCAGGACAGACTTCTTCAAGTTCTCCTATTTCCCTCGTACGTGCAGGGACTGGAATAAGTTACCTGATATCAACACGGGATCAATTTATTCCTTTTGGTCCCATGCGCTACAATTCCTAAAAGATTGCTCTATTCCATGACCACGTGCTTCGTTTCCGTGTCTTTATATGGACTAACAAGTCTGTCGACATGTACAGAAGAAGAAGAAACTGTTTCACAATTTTGTATCTATATTTAATATTCATTTGCTTAAAGATAACTTTAGGGCTGGGTGTAGACTACATGCATCCCCTCGAATTAAAGAGCTCCATTGGCTTCCTTTTATCTCAACGTGTACACTTCAAACTCTGCCTCTATGTTTTCAAGTTAATCAAAAATACTGCACTTTCCTACCTTGCAGACATGAAGCTTACCAACCCACTACTACTCACAATTAATCTTCGTTCCGTAAAAGATCCTTCTAGACTCGAAATTCCCATATCAACGGGTCCACTGCCGATAAACGATTTAATGCTTCTGCTTCTAAATTCTGGAATAATAAACCATACTCAATTCGAAGTAAAGAAAACCTGTCAACATAAAAGAAGAAACCTGAAGACCCACCTTTTCCACAGAGCTAGTCTTTGTGTGTCTTTCTCTATACATTTTAAGCGCCATGGTACGTTTTAGTGTACAGCGCAGTTTAAATAAATATTGTTCTTCTTGTTAATAATAATAATATTGGATATTTATATAGCGCACATATCCACCCTGCAAGGTGCTCAAAGCGCTCCAATATTACTCCGACTCTGCTAGGCTACCGATTTCGGTGCTCACAGCATTCAAGGAATTCCTTCCTACCGGTACGGTGGTACCCATTTACTTCACCTGGGTGGGGTGGCAAATGTAGATCAATGTCTTGCCAAAGGACATTAGTGCCGCGGCGGGATTCGAACCGCGGTCCTTGTGATCGACAGTCCTGCGACTTATCCACTCGTCCACGACACCTCTATTGAAATTATTACGATCATTATTAGACTCACCAACTGATTTTGATAGGCCGTGACAGCTGTGAATGAGGTCTCAGAAAAGACAAATGTGCGGACGTGTTGTGGTCTCCACCGACAAGCATTCATCACTTCATCCATGTCATCACCAGCGACATCGTGGCGCTTGTCGTTGTCCTCATGGTGGTCGTCTTCGTTGTCGACAATGGTCACGTTTTTGACGATGTGGATTCGAGGCTGGTAGCGGTGCATCGAATTCAGGATCACCTGCGAGTAAAATACAACACACATTGTTGGTCACGGTCCTGGATGTTGTTTTGCTTTTTGTAATTAAATCACACAAAAAACCTATAAAGTACAGAACCGTTTTCCTTGCAAGTTGGCATCTTAAAACTAAGAATAAGAGCACAGCGTCAATATAGTTTATAATGCCCATGTCCACAAACGCCCCTGGACCCCGTTTCATAAAAAAATTGTTTTCAATAACAAGCTGCAATAGCTGTTCTATAAGCTACTGAAATCCTTGTATATTCCTGGCTGAAAGCAAAGTTGTCAAAGAAATTTAGTATTTGTTATTGATAACAAGTTTCATGAAACAGGGCCAAGGTTGTTCGTATACTGATCCCCCTCCCCCCCCCCCTTCCCCAACACACACATAAAAAAAATGCGCACGCGTGTGCACATTTGCAAAAACTATGTGCATCCCCTGCAGTGTAAGTCTGGTTCCAAAATGTGAAAATCCTTTAATTTACATTATTGCAAGAAAGCAAACCGACTATAACATTAAGGGATATTACTCCACTGCCTGGACTGTCCACATTTTTAAATTTTGTTTAAAGATATTTTGTATTATTTCTCTCAAATAAAAAAAACATTTGTACAAACTAGCTATATGCACAAGATAATTACGTACGCATGCATACACTGTTTGTTTGTTTTTGTATTAGTTTAGATGTTTATCTATTTGTGTTCAGAAGGGGTGAATTTCTGGCTAGTATTGTGAAGTCGAGGTGATAACGCACACACGCACACTTTCTCTTTCTTCTCATATCCTTCTCTTTATTTTTTATATCAAGATTGTATTTTGTCATACCTGGCTGACTCGACACAAACTTTACACCTTCTCCTTTTTTGTGAAGATACTCTTCGATATTATTTATATTATTATGCATAAGTTGCATTACTTGAATTTTTGTTTTAACATGAAGAAAAAAAGGCTACAGTGGAAGATAAATGCTACTTTTAATTATAAAAACGGCTATAATATAGGTCAAGAGGGAATAATATTGTGTGAGTAAACACAGCAGGAGATGAAGTTCAGTAGGTCTACGTTGCTTCATGTCTCGTCGACCGGCAGTGATTCGACTGAATAAAGTGGGATAATTTATGGTCCAATGAGTGCTGAAATTTGCTTGACCTTTGACCTTCCATTGAAAGCACTAAATGCTTTCTGTGTAAACACGATACGGTAGTATTTCATCTCCGAATGTCATAGAAGCATTTTCGCTGGGAAAGACGTTCGCCTAGCGCAGTACCCTCCTTAACATGAAAAAGAGAGAAAACAATGTGCGAACAAGAACGCAAGAGCAATAACAGTAATTAGAACGTCAATAGTCTGTTGCTTTTTAGTACTTTATGTAACATATTTATGTTTTTTTTTTTAATTATTTTTTTCTGTATAATTACAAATCGCCTTTTGTTTTCGGAGGGCCTTCAGCCTCATTCCCCCTAGTTAGAAGTAAAGACTATGCCATTAAAACAAGCCGAGGAGACAAAGGTCGGTAAATTTGGGACTTGAAACTTGAAAGAAAGCAGAGAGAAAATCCATTTCAAGTTGCTGATCAAACGGGTGTCTCTACGAAGAGTATGAATGATCTGATGTGTTTGAGTTCCGTTTGGGATAGTATGACCATGGAGATATAAGAAGAGATCTCCATGGTATGACTAACGCATGCTGCTATAAGTTCAACTCCTACTACTAATACCTGGCTACTACTACTGTCACTGCTACTGCTGTTGCTGCTGCTGCTGCTTCTGCTGCTGCTGCTACTGCTGCTACTACTACTTATACTACCATAATACTACTTATACTACTACTACTTCTACTGCTATTACTACTTCTACTACTTCTACTACTAATAATACTACAAATACATTATTAGTAAAAGTATTAATAATAATAATAATACATGTAATAATAATAATAATGATGATGATGATGATGGCGGTCATGATAGTGATAATAATAATGTTAATTATGATAATAATAGTAATAATGAAAATAATGATAAAAATAACAATTTTTAAATTATGTTTTGAATTAAAAAATAAACTCTAAATGCACCACAAAATTCTGAGATATAATCCACATATTTATTACCTGTCAATTTTTTCTTAAAAGTGTTCTAGCAACTGGAGAATATGAAACTTTTATTTTTGTCTTCATTTCTCTTGTGCATTTTTTAAAGGATTTACGACAACCCCCCCCCCCCCCCCCCCCCTGTACAAACTCCTTGATCTGACTTACGTGTCCACTTTTATCCAGTTCATTGTTGGTCAACTTGATCTTCTCCAATGAGAGAAGCTGTTTGAGCAACTGTTCTCCGGTGAACGGTGAATCGGGATGGCGGCTCAACCTCGGTGGCAACGACGGATCGGCCTTGCCCGCTACCAGCCATGATGACCGATGGTAGGCGTAGCGATATCGCTTGTTGTCTAGGGGCACGACGTCGATGTACACTGAGTAGGATGACATCGGGTGAAGCCCAGCAAAGGAAACCCGCAGCGTCGGGAACATGCGTCTGATGATGACAACAATTTTCAAAGAAAGGAATAATCGGATTACTCACAGAGATTCCCCTATTGTAAAAGATGGGCTACGATGTCAAACTTTAAGGATGGGGGGGGGGGGGGGATCGAAGAGCAATAAAGCTCAGACGATCGTTATAAAAACAGTGCACCATAGTAAAGCAATTGACTCTTGTAAAAAGAAAAAAATAGTATTTGATCAAACAATAACATCGATATCTTCAGCAGCTTTTAGTTGATAATGAATGCAAGTTAAAACGAAATGTCACATGGCTTTTGCATGCTTGCTTCGCTCTCTTGCAAAACTAGCAATCCATGCAATCGAAAGGTTACATTATATTCCCCAAACCAATATGTTTTAGCATGACCCCCGAGATGAAAAAACCGGGGCAATTTAAACGTGGTTTCCTTGCTAAACTGTACGGATCAAAGACAGGTCAAAATCCCCCACCCCCTCCCCCCCCCCCCACAAGGTCAGGATATACCTCTGAATGTGATATTGCATATTAGAAAAAAGAGGAGTATAGTTTACAGCCGTTAAAGGAGTCGATATTTCTCCTTCCAATGGATTAAACCAAATGTGTCAGTTAATAAAGACTGCTTTACACAGAGGCGTCATTTGTTTGACCTAGGGCTGCGTCAGTACTTGACGTGGTCTTCGATGTAATAATGATAATGGTAATGATGGTATGGTAAGAAAAGGTGAATGCAAAATGTTATTGAACAGGGCAAGCTTTACACGGATAACTGACAAACGCACTTAATGTCTTCATACGCAAATTAGCGTAGGTATTGACGCAATCGAAATGACGCCTCGTGTACTACTGAGAGCTATGTTACCTGCCAGATTTAGTGATAATCATCTCGGTCCCGAGTTCATGAAAACGATCCCAGAGTTCTTTAGTCTCTAGCTTACAACCGATCCCCGTCATCTCCTTCCAACACCCTGCTCCGTCCGTACAACTATCACAAACTGGACTAGCTCTCGTCTGCGGCATCCCCGAAGCCGAACCCGCTTCGTTACCTGTCACGGCTCGCGGTCCGATGCCAAGTCGCTCGAATGCCGGCGATGTCGTCACGACTGGTTCGCGCAAAAGTGATACCAAGCTGTGTTGTTGCGGAAGCAGATGATGATGATGATGTTGTTGTTGCTGAAGATGATTGCGTTGGAGGATGTGATGCGATTGCACGAGGTGACTTCGCGCTGGACGTTGGGCGTGGTCGCTGACTAACACCTGGCGTTGGTCTTCAATGTCATTTGGAGATGTAACGGCCTGACCATGTCTTGGATGAAATGATGGTTGAGTTTGAGGGGCGACCTCTCTTCGATGAGCTTCTGAACGAAGGGGTGCTACAGGTGGCGTGTTGTATGGGAGTGATCGAAGTCTTGGCGCCGGAGGAAGAGTGATGCGGGGGCGTTTTGCTGCGATGCCATCGTCAAATATATGTCTAGGAGATCCAGATTTATCCAGCTTTCCTGCAGAGAATAAAAAGGAAAACCATCGTTTCACAAAAGGGCGAATATTGGCCTTTATAAAAGAGGGGACAAAACGTCATCAGATTTTTCGATACAGTTTTACTTCTAAAATCTCTGACAAGTAAAGAAAGTAAAAAATAATGAATAAAAAAGGGTCATCACCTCGAGGGGTGCAGCGGGGCAATTTCCTCTTAACTAAAAGTTGCCACTTCGGCCATTTCCAAAGGGGGGCACCCCAAATTCTTCCAGTGGTTTAAAGGGGGAGTACATCCTGATATTAAGTTAGTTCCAATAGAAGCTGAAAAGTTTCGGTGAAACTTTGAGCAAAAACCAATTAGAAATAAGAAAATTATGACATTTTGAAGGTGCAAACACAAATTGGCAACTCTGTGTCGTAACTTGCGAGGTCCCCTCCCTTTTCCCTGTACTAAAAAACTTCAGAAATTCATATTTTCCATCAAGAAAATCTTTAATCATACATTCACCCTAAATGTAATATTGCAATATGTTTTAAAACAAATCTACTCCATCATTAATAACCAAGAAAATGATTTTTTTTTGACATTTTCTGTACAGTGCGAAATTGAAGAGGAGTTCGCAAGATACATCACAGTGTTGCCAATTTGTGTTATACTGATGACAACTCTAAAAGGTCATACATTTCCTATTTTAATCGGATATTGCTCAAACTGTCAATAATTTGTTTCTCTCATTTTCAGCTTCAATTTCAGCTTCCAACCTAATATGCGGATGGACTTCCCCTTTCACAGTATTAATCCAACCAAGGAATTTCAAAATTGACAACAAAACAAACAAAGAACCACCAGTGCGATTACAACAGACTTTTGCGTCACCAATTAAAACGCTGAAACATTTATTATAGCATATGCATATTACGCAATTCGAAATACAACAGACTACTCAGCTACTGAAAGTAGACTTCAGGTTGATCGTCTTATTGACTTTTTTCATGTATGAAGATTTTGAATGGGTATGTCGAATAACTCGCCAATTGGTCATGAAAAAAAAACATTTGTGAAAGAATGACATGTGACAACACATTAAATGTATTGCAGAGTCTCACAAGAATAAATCACAAGATTAAGAATAACTCATCACTTAATTTCTTTTTTATGTTCTGTCATGTCTGTAGCACCATGGATATAACATAATACGAAAATGTAACGAACAGTTGCATTGACTTTACACAGCATGAATCATATTGGTATCACGATTAAGGGAAATAAAATACATCATGCTTCCTTCAATAATATAATGAAACTTACTTTTATTAGTACGGAGATCCATCGCGCCCAAAGAGGGTCATCAAAATGCATGAAGAAGTTATTGTAGCGATCTAACCCCCGAAGTACGTGCAAGGCCCAGTTGCTTTCTGATTTAAAACTATTCAGATACAACTCCCACCTTTAATTATAGCTCAGGCATTCTTGTCCAAAGGTATGGTAGTTATTTGGCATTTACAAAAGAACTATAGTTTATTAGACGACGGGCTGATAATGATAATGTCGTTACAATAAAAGGAAAAGCCTAGAACAAAACGGGGGATAAAACGGCTCGAGGAGTGGAAAACAGGTGCCGGTATAATCCGCATGTTTCGCACGTTTTCAGGAGTTAGTCTTTCGGGCTTTTTGGTCGTACCCAATTAGCGAGTTTACATGAGATTTTAATGAAGAAGCACAGCATAACTATTGGTTTCTCGACACTAGAAAGCATGTCCTTTTAAGTGAAAATTGGCTTTCTAGTGATTCAAAAGAAAGGGGTTCAGAGCTCTCTGAACACCACCATTCCTTTCTTATTTATGCGCTGTGCAGGCACTGTTTACAAAAAGACATACATCGATTTTGGTTGCTATCCAAAGAACGTAGCTTATGATGCGTAGATTCCAGCGTGGACAGTAGTCAATAACAATGTTATTACTACTCGAGCATCGCTGATTTGTTCCGCAATGGCTTCCATTAATGACTTCATGATAATGCCTAATATAAGAAAACCCATTCAATATTGATCAAATGAATACAAATGTTGGAGTCTTCCTCATAGACAGACTCAGGAATGTGGACATAAGACATTCATGAGATTTTTCCACAAAAATCTGGAAAGAGGTCACCAATAGACGTTTGGCATGGTTTGGGCACCTGGTGCGAAATGCCTCAGGATCGCCTTCCACTCCAACTTCCAAGACTTCCGTAACAACTTCACAGCTCCAAGCTAGACCCCCGGGACGCTAATTTTTTTACCAAACAGGTTTGCCAATGCTAATATTTCCGGTCATCTGATTGGCTGATATGTTACGTCATTAGCAATGACGTAACCGTTAGGTTGAGTGATAGGGTTATAGAAATCATGCAGAATCACTTTTCATCAACCCATCGTTGGCTCATTCGATAAGGTCAGCGTAATACAATCTCAGAGTTGTGGGCTCAAGTCTCAGTTTATTCAGTTTTTGTGTCTTTATAATAGTGAGGCAAAGCAATAAAAAAAATCAAAGTCTAATTGTTTGTGACCTCTTTCCAAGCTGCTAATGACGCAGAACATATCAGTCATTGAGAAGAACGGAAATATAAGAAATTGCAAACCTGTTTAGGAATACAAAATTCGCCCCCGGGACGCCCCCAAATCCGTATCGACACAGCTAGAGGATGCTGAAAGCCATGCACGGGACAGAACGGAATGGAGGCGACATATTTGTAAGGAAAGCAAAGGAACACCCCGTCCTGTGCCAATAAGTCAAGTCAAAGTCAAGAATGAAAAGGTAATATTTCGATTTCAAAAATAAAAAATGGAGGCTCTGCACAAAACTGTAGTCTCTTATGTCTTTCGACTAACGCAAGCAAATTTATTTTACCCTGCAATTATCTATATTCAAAAAATAAAACTGAATTAATATAACAACAACCAATGAGATACATGTACTTCTTAAGAAAAAACGTTACCCCCCCCCCCCCCCCCCACCCCACCCCCCGCCCGACTCAAGAAGGGGCGTAGATATACTTTAGAATGATTGAACAAATTCCGTTTCGATCAACCATGAAATTGTTTTTAATCTAAATTTTCGCTTTGCATTAATACAATGACCGTCACCTCTCTTGGTTTGCCCTTCTCGTGTATTTTTTTTTCTGTTCGGCGAAACATCAAATAACCCTTTGATTCACAAATTACTTGCATAATGGAACGAGATTTGCAAGTTGACACCAATCATAAAGACACGCTCTTCTTGTTTGCTAACCGAAATTAGTCCCCGTGTCGAGATTTATACTGCAAATAAATGAAAGCATAAGGCACTCATGCAGATCAATATGAATAAGAAGAAAGCTTAGCAAAAGATAATGGTGCCACAGTCCTATCCGCATCAGCTATGATCATTTTCAAACCGAAGGCAATGCGAAGGACGAAGGACTGAAATATCAGAACCTCTATTTCAATTGAGACATTTCTTTTTTTCTTTTCAGAGGTGTGTTTCCGACTTCTTTGTTGCTCTCTTTACACGGTAAGTTTGGAGAGTCAACACCGTATATTAGATACATGTTAAACAGCATTATGCTAAATGTATTGATATTGAGTTCAGCTGGAAGACCCGGTATCCGCTTTCCTAGGGAATCAGTAGGGACTTTTAGATTTACACGACGAGAGCGTGGACTACCGCGTGTGACATTGTGTTAAAGGGATCGTTTAACAATGTTAAATCTGAGATACACGGTCCTACATGTTACCAGTGTCTGTGATATGGGGTAATATTGAAGCCCTAAAAAAATAATCGCGCTTCAAAATGACCAAGAAGTTCCTCAAAAAAGTAAAAATCTTTGAGGGACCGGTTGTACTCGTTCCCCCCCCCCCCCAATAGACTGTAGTGTTATGAAAACCGTTAGGAAAACGCAAAATTTGATTTCGACTTCCAATCATAAATATCTTGATAATCAGACATACTCGTTTTCCCTAATAGACTGTAGTGTTATGAAAACCGTTCGGCGAACGGTATTCAAAATTTGTAATTCCAATCATTAATATCTTGATAATCAGACAGGCGATCGGCTTGTAAAAGTCATGGAGTTCCTAACTGACCTTAAGGTTTATAATTATCATTGCAGCATGAGCTAAATCAAGGATTATTTCTAAAGGATCTAAGACAAAGTTACCGGATCCCTTTAAGGCACTGGGCCGTGCCCGGCAGTACCTTAAAAGAACGTCACGTTACCTTAAAAGGATGTCACACGTGGCGGTCCACGTTCTCGTCGTGTAAATCTAAAAGTCCCTAGTAGCGCAGATTAAGGCCCGTTGCACATGAAGCGTCGTTTTGATGGCGTCACTACTTGCGCTCGCTAAACATGAGAAGATAATCAGCCATAAGCCCAATGTTGTGTTAGTATAAAGCAATACTTGTTCCGATTTCTTTGGGTGTTTTTTTTTAATTAAAAAAAAGAAAAGAATTCAATCATCATTATTATTATTATTATTATTGTTATTATTATTAATATTATGAATATATATATATATATTTTTTTTTTTTTTTTTTTTTTTTTTGGGGGGGGGGGGGGGGGGGCTGTTGCATTCACTTTTTTGGTTTTACAATACAACTCTCTAATGGCGCGTCAAATACCAAGCTTCAGCGACTGACCCAGTGACGCACTCACGCAATGTGTGTATGTGTGTGTATCAAAAATAACATTTTAATTTGTCACCCCGCACGATAACAAGTTGTATGAGAAAATATGAAATACGTATCAGCATTTGCAAAAACTTTTGACTTCGCAGTCGTATAAAAATGTACACGATCCCAAAGACTTTTGATAAATCAGATTAAGGGCAATATCAGTATATCCCATAGAACTCATGTTCAGATTACGTACTACATTATTACAATGGTCGTAGGCCCTACATATCAGTGGGTTATAGAAAAGGTTATTTAAATTGTCTTCAGTTGATTTTTTTTTCGAAAGTCTTGGCGATCATGTTCATGATCAACCTTTCTAAAACGCTGATTAAATCGAGCTGCAAAGCGCACTAGAGATTAAGATACTGGGCTTTATTAGTGAAATCAACTTTTTAGAGCTCGGAAAATCTGTGTACTTGTAAAGCCTCCGATGCAGACTGGGAGGGTCGTGTGTGTATTGGGTTTTTACAGACGTGTATCAATCAGATATGATTATTTACGTCTGGGACCGACCTTTAAACGTCACCATCCGAAAGACGTGACTCAGTTTCGAACCTGCGTCCTCGGCTGAATCAGTTTGTAACTTCCACTTTTTAGCTGGATTACAGGCGCACGCCACAACGCCTAGTTCGGAAAGATTGGGTGTAGTCTTGATTCCAGACAAAGTGAGATTCCTTTCTTCCAGATAGACGCAATGGCTATTGAGAGGACCAGTGTAGATTTCTCCTGGTAAACAGACCTAATTGAATTACCTAAAAGTAATGAAATATTTTTATCTCTCTTTTTTTCTTTCTTTCTTTCTTTCCTTTAAACAAAATTATTATCATCATCTCAAAAAATATAATAACCATTCAAACTACCAGGGCATTGGGATTTACTTTATATTTTTTTTAGAGAGAGGGGGGGGGGGGCATTCGCATTCTGAGCACAATTTCTTTGTATTCTGACATCGCCGGAAATGAGAGAAGACAATCTAAAAGGCGATATAAACAGGAATAAATGAGGAAAATTCCCAGTCGAATTAAGTCAATAACACAACAAAAGTTCGGGGGAGGAAGTCAATAAGCCAGGCAAAAATCAAGAAATAATTTCATGATTTGCAGACAAGGACACGCGTGCTGGGAAGAAAAGATACATCGTTTGGTTCGGGGTGATTTCGCGCCTATTATTCGTCGTCTGGCCACACATGTTTTTGTGAAGAGTGTACAACCGAAGAGTTGTTTTTTATTTGAGTATTACAGACGCAGTATTTGATGTATAAACAATGAGCATGTGTATCTGAAATTTCCCGTTTCTTTGTATAGTTTATCCAGTCCCCCCCCCCCCTTTTCTCTCTCTCTCTCTCTCTCTCTCTCTCTCTCTCTCTCTCTCTCTCTCTCTCTATATATATATATACATCTATTCCCTTCACCTTTCTCCCTATCTCTCGCTCTTTCTTTCTCTCAGCCTCTCTCTGCCTGTCTCTGTCTTTCCCTTTAAGTTTTTGCATGTTACTAAGGAAGTGACAACAGCATTAATTGAACAACAAATATTGGTCATCCCGGGGGCAGCAACAAAGTATTTTCAAATTATCACGTATTTCGAAATAATACCGCGTAGGCGCGTGGGGTATCTTTGTATCTGCTTGTTCAAAAGTGTTTTTTTTTTAAGAGTCGACAAAAGCTGTGTGAAATTTGAGAAAACGATTATGTGGCTGAGTCGTTCTTGTATTTTTCTTTTCTTGATAAGAGGATGTTTTGGTTTGGGTTTTTTTTTAGGGGCAGGTGCGAAAGTCGACATAGGAAAGAGCGGCTTTTTATGTG